TTAGACGTCAAAGTTTCAATTGAAGGTAACGGTTTATGCACTAGTGTGTATTACAAACCTACAGACTCGCATAATTACTTGTTATATTCGTCTTCTCATCCATCTCACGTTAAGAATTCCATTCCTTTTTCTCAGTTTCTAAGACTTCGTCGTTTATGTAGTAATGACTCTGATTTTCACCACAAATCAGAGTCAATGTGCCAGTTCTTCGATAAACGTGGTTACCCTGTTTCCGTCGTTCAAGCGGGTTACCACCGCGCTCAACTTATTGATCGACATTCAGCACTACAAACGTCGCATAAGGAAGATTCCGACCGCATTCCATTCACTCTCACGTTTCACCCTCACAACCACTCAGTTAAATCCATCATTCTTAAAAACTTCAAATTACTTCAAAACGATCCAGAGACAAGCACTATCTTTTCGCAGCCTCCGCTCATTTCATTCAAACGCGACAAAAACTTAGGCAATTTTTTGGTCAGAAGTTCTTTTCAGACTAATGAGCAACCAGGCACTTTTAAATGCGCTCGTGCACGATGCAAAACGTGTCCTTTCATTCACAACACTGATAAAATATCGGGACCTAAACGATCCATTAAGATCACCGATCACTTCACGTGCACCTCCGCCAATGTAATCTATTGCATAACTTGCACTTATTGCAAAAAGATATACATCGGCGAAACAGGCAGAAGACTAGGTGACCGATTCCGAGAACACCTTCGAGACGTGGAAAGGAATGACAAGGACACATCGAAACCAGTCGCTAGACATTTTAATTTACCTAATCATTCTAAGCAACATATGGCAATCTGCGGTCTTTCCTTACACTTAGGTAGCACGGAAAGCCGTAAAAATCTTGAACAAAAGCTCATCTTTCAAACCGGCAGTCTAAATCCCACAGGGATCAACGAACGCTTTTCATTCCACTAATTTATTCTTGTTTTTCTCGTTGCCATGTTCCCACCAATAACGTAGCTTTATTTTCTGCCTTTCAAAGCACACACAACCCACAATTCCTCTATTCGCTCCGACGAAGGGCTAACGCTCGAAACGTCAGCTTTTGTAATCGTTACGGCGGCCAATTTACCATTTCAACTTTGTTGACATATCCAAATTATTTCATTACTCCCACCGACGCAGCCCCAAACAGTTTCTTTCGAAATTATCAGCCTTTAAAGATATCAACATGTAAAACTGACATGGCAGCTCAATACGATCGCACGATTGTTGTCTAAAAAGGTATATTAAAACAGTATAAAAAATACAGTTTTTTATTAGTGAACTCTATGGTTTCCAACAACTATACCTATGATATCCATTGGCTCTCTGCACCTGAAAGAGAGGTTAGAAGAAAATAGAAAACCAGGGGAAAGATGTGAACAGATTCAAAAGTTTACACATGCTCAGATATCGATCTTGGCGAAGTGCTATTTAAGACGTAATGTTTTGGGAGTAAAAAGAGGGGATCTCTTGAGTGAGATTTATTGCGTTCCTTTTTAATGATTTTTGCTTTTTAAAATTGGCTCGGTCTTAACCACATACAGCTCCTATCAAATGGCCAATTTTTGATAAAATCTGCGAGAGCTGATCGAAATATTCAGAAAAATAACGAATTAGAGAATACTGGCAAGGGCACCTGAAAGACTGAATTTTTTTTGAAATTCAAAAGGTTGGGCAAAATCATTTCCATATTGTGGCAAAGGATGAAGAAATTTCACCGAGGGAAATATTTCTGCATGTTATTGGAGATGATATTGCCATGGTAACGTCATAAATATTAAAATACCTACGGTTGAAGGCTCAATTGAAGCCTTAAAATGATAACGATATCATATCATATCATATCGATATGATATGTATGGTAAATATCTTGAGGGAAAACTTTGAGATAATTTACTAGGTTTCCTTTGATTCGTAACTCGCGCTCTGATTATTATTACATTCGTAAATGCTCTAACGAGCCACCTTAAAAACGCTTTTTAGAACTAAGATGATTGTCTCCACTTTTAGTTGCAAGAGTGGTTAGATGCTTTTAAAATTTCATTTTAACGTTATTTTACCCCTTTCGAATAGGCCAGAAAAGGTAAACCTTTAATGAGCCAAAATCAGGGAACTAATTGCTGTTTTTATTACCTTCCATTGTGAGATTATACCGGCAACATTTTTAAGATTCATTCTCGGTCAGTACAATGAAAATTTAATCAGTTTTTTGAGTGAGACAGCACGCAGTATCATCAGTGAACAAGACTTGAACACATCTTGCTGGAAAAAGCAAGAATCAAAATGAGGTATTTCGTTCGGGTTGACTTTTTTTAATAACCGCAATATTATAAGTGGATGTATGTAATACAAAGTCGAGGCTCTGTGACGAAAGTATCCATCCATTCATGGTTTCATTTTCTCACTCATTCACTTCGTCACCTGCCCATTCACCTATTAATTCACCCGTTCATTCTTATTCATTCGCCCAAGTAACCACTCATTGACTCATCCATCCATTCATTCTTCAATAAATCATGTCATTCATTCACTCGTCCTTCTGTCCGTATTTGACCGTATAGTCATTGTTCATTCGCCCAGAGAGGTCTGTTTTGTTGAGGTTGTAATTTAATTATATCCCTTTAGGAGCGATGTATCAAGTGAACGCCTTCAAAACCAAACGCATTTGCCAGGACGACCTGATGCACATAAATTGTACGGCCCCCAAGGTGCTCAAGATCTACCATGTATCCTACTGTCAAACGAAAAGTGACAATTGCATAAGGAAAACTGAATCTTGTGCTCCTGATAATAAGACAAGTTTGATAAGAAAGCATTGCAACGGACACGAGGAGTGCAATGTCACAGTCGATACGAGTACCATGGGAGACAATTGTCCAAACATGTCGGCCCTCAAGTATCTGAATGTCATATATGGCTGCGGTGAGTAATGAATTCTCACAATAAACGATAATCACTTTTTAGGGGTGAGACAGCATGAGGTAGTAGACAAAACTTGTGCATTTTAGATCTCCTCCTGGTGGATAACCCAAGAATCAGAATGGGGGCTTTCCTGGATATTTTTTAAATTATTGCGAATCTATTTGTAAATGCATGTTATTTATACCCGGGGCTATGTTCAGAAAGTATCCGTCCATTCGTGGCTTCATTCATTCACTTAATTAATCACTCAATCAAGTAGTCATGCACTGGTGCCTACATTCATTATTTAATCATGATTGCATTGACGTCTTCATTCGTTTCACTTTTTTTTTTCTCACTCAAAAAGCTTTTTTGTTGAAGTTCTAACTCATCTCCTTTCAGGAACGCCGAATAAAAACCAAATTTACCTGTTACTGAGGGCGACTCGATGCACATCAATTGCTCGGCCTCAGAAGTGCTCGAAATTTTTAAGGCAAACTTCTTTCGAAAGGAAGACGGTAAAATTTGCACAGAGAGGAGGATGAATGATGTCAACACTGCTGAATATTGTGCCCTATTCGTGGCTTCATTCATTCACTTGATGACTCGCTCAAGCACTCACTCGTTTACCTGTCCATTGCATTTATTCATTCACTGATCCATTCATTCATCATTCATTCATGCACGCATTGACTTGACCTTTTTTTTTCTTGTTCAGAGAACTTTTTCTTTATTTATGTTCCAAATCATCTCCTTTTAGGACCGCCGTATAAGATGAGCGCCATGAAAACCAAATACACCTGCCAGGGTGACTCGTTGGACATAAGTTGCTCGGCCTCAGAAGAGCTTAAAATCTTTAAGGCAACTTACTTGCGAGAGGAAAACAAGAAAATTTGCACAGGGAGGAGGATGAATAATGTCAACACTGCTGAATATTGTGCCCCAGATGATAAGACAAATTTGCTAAAAGAGCATTGTGAAGGACACTCAGAGTGTAATGTCACAGTAGATACAAATACCATGGGAGACAAGTGCCAGTGGATGTCAAACCCTAAGGATCTGAATGTTAAATATGGCTGTGGTAAGTAATGAATATCCACAATAAAACACCAAAATATCATGATTTACATTATGATCCTGTCACAAGTTAAACTCTGTTTGATATGTTTTTGAAATTAGGGAAAAAAAATACAGAATTGGGATGATGAGTCAAGTATCACAGAAGAAGTAATTTGTTTTCCCTTGAAAGCTTTACCAGAGCTCGAGACCGACTCGGAAATACAATCTGTATGTTTAAGCATTTTTAAAGAGCACAAGGAATAGAGACGGGAATAAAAAAAAGCATAAAGTTGGAAAACTTTCTTAAAGACCCGGAGCTGAAACCGGTTTTAACCTCGCAAAGCTGTGCCCCCAAGCTTGATCTACGCAGGTTAAAATATCTTTTTTTTTATGTATTGTAGAGGACGTATCATCCACGAACGAACCCTCGTTTACCACCGAAAAGAAGTATACCACAGTAATAGCAACGACTTCCTCAGAGGAATGGTACAGAAGTGGCTATGAAATATATAATACTGGATACAGCAATCAAATCTCTCATGAGATGATATACTTGCTGTTTACAGTAAATGTTTGGTTTCGGCTTCTGTAATTATGAAGTTGCCAAGTGAATTCCACAACCGAGAGTCTAAACAAACGACTATGTGACACCAACTTGCCTGTTGCCCATCAAGGGATATTACGTTGACCCTTTATTGTCTATTTAGTAACAACGCGTTAAACAATTCTTCGAGTGTCGTTTATTGCGTTTTTCTAATAATTCCAACTGAAGGTAATTATGATTTTAAGAAAAGGGTGAATATCATCTTCTGACAGACATTTTTTCTTGAGCCGTTTGGATTCGAGTTCATGTTCGTGTTCGAGTTCGCGTTGAACTTCGAACTAGTTCAGTTTTAGAAAAGCTTTTCATGATAAAAATTAGTGATAATAATTTTGAATATACATACATACATACATACATACATATACTTTATTTAATCTCGAATTTGGAGTTTCGAGTTGGAACGTTTCGACCTCGCTGAGGTCATTTTCAAGCTGATGAAAAGGAAAATTTTTACATATATGTACTAAATTCAAGACGTGGGAATGATAAAGGCGATAAAATATGGAAATATGTAAACGCTAGGCGTAAAATGGAAGTGATAAAATTACAAAGGAGACAATACGAATAAATTGATATGAGAAATGACCTCAGCGAGGTCGAAACGTCGTTCAAAATTATTATCACTAATTTTTAACTTCGAACTGGACTTCGAGTTACGTTTCGAGTTTAGAAAAAAAGTGTTCATGGACCTGCAAGCGATTTTAAATCTTCTAACCTCAATAAACTGTAGCTCTGACCAGGATATATTTTGATGACCTTCGTTCGCGATATGAAAATAGGGGTTGACTCCTTAAATATATCGTCTTGCCACTTAGTCCCTGGGTTTCTCGAAAACTCAGAGCCATTATTCTGACTTACTTGTGCTACTTCCAATTTAGATGACTTTCGTTCGCGATATGAAAATAGGGGTTGACTCCTTAAATATATTGTCTTGCCACTTAGACCCTTGGTGTCTCGAAAACTCAGAGCCATTATTCTGACTTACTTGTGCTACTTCCAATTTAGCGTGCTAAACTATTTTATAGTGAAATATAGTGCTGTTCTTATTGGCATCAGACAAGAGCTGGCTTTGGAATCACACGGTAAACATGGCGATGGAACGAAGAAATTATTGGGCGCGAAATAAACACAATGAAGTAAAGCTGGTTTAACACGACCTAAATAATTCATGACCATGAGTGAAGGCTGAAGTGGATCTTTCGTACCTTTTGGTTTCCGATAAACTATTTTCACGTCACACACTGCTCTCAAACCTTTTGCTTGTGACATGTTTTTAACCATACATTTTACAAGTATTACAAAATGTTTTATTTACAGTATGTTTGATTGATGAAAATTTTTTTGATCAATCTCAAGATGGTAATGTTACGTTATGAATCACGGAGCTAAATAAACAAGAGGTTTAGAGGTTTTCTCGTTAGCTCCCCGTACATTTTAAGTTGCAGGTAGCAGCAGGTAAGAAAAGGAAGGAAACAATAAATAGATAAATGAATAAATAAATAAATAAATAAATAACAAAAATAAATAAATAGATAAAATAAAATAATCAGTGGGGAAAAGTTAATAAAACTGTAAAAATTGGATATGAAGGTGGCTTCATTTTTTCTTGTTTAATTTCTTCGTCTAAAAAAAAAAGCTTTAAGATCGTTTGGCTCACCAATTGAATATTTTTTTTTACTCATCTTCAAACCCTTTTGTCGCATCAGTGGTTTATCCTCTATCGATCCTTATATTAAAAGTGACAACAACAGCTAATTATAGTCGGCCATGATATTTAAAATATATATTTAACTGCCACTAACGAGGGAACGCTCTTATGATCGAAGTAGCAATCAGTTTTAATCTTGTAACTAATTGGTTGTGAAATCAGCGCCATTTTCACCTTCAGACCAATTCTGAGAAGTAGCCAAGCATTCCTGGATTGCTTTATACATTCAAATTTGAAGTTTCGTCTTTGCTTGTTTCCTTTCTGCCCGTGAAAACGATTAAGCACTAAGAAATAACGTGTGAGAGGAACTACTCCACAATAATCATGATAAATGATGTCAAGATTACGAAAGAAAGCGAAGATTATTGTGAAAATACTAATACAGGTGGAGAGTAGCCTCAGTGAACGGAAACTTTTATCCGAATTGGGAGGAATATGCGACGACAAACCAAGTTGTAGCATTCTTTTGACGCATGAATCTCATGATGTCATTCAAATTCCCTGCCGGAACTTGATTTTGAGTTTGCATTTTGATATTATATACACGAGAGTGCATGTGTACGTTTGTTAGAAATTTTTTTCAATCATACTGTAATGTTTACATTTTTATATCCAGAATTTAAATGATGGTTGCTTGAAAAATAATGAATTAAAGAAGTTAGGATACAAAACGACACTAAAAGTTTGTTCTGCAACCAAAAAAAAAACGTCTACAATCGACCACAGAAGTAAAGGACTGCTTTAGCCATTCGACTCTAAGTCTTCATTTAAAGCAGGAATAAACAGAGTTCCCTCTTTTAATTCTGGAATAAATGATTGTGGTTGGTAGGAAAATATTTAGGAGAGAGACAACGCACACTGTGTGCCATCAAGATATTCGTTCAATTCTGTCTTTAGTAAGACAACTGAAAGCCATATTCCTTTACGTTTCGTGCTGTTTTGCCCCCTTTTTTATCACTTTCTTGTGTGTACCCCTTTCGAATAGTCTCTCCTGTCTTACTTAAGCTGCAATATTAATAGTACAAAATGAAACATTTTGATCAAATCGAAATTAGCATCTTTTTTCAATTTTTAGACGAAGAAATTCCGCTATTACCAAAAGTCACTTAAAAGACCACCTATCGGCTTCCCAGGCGACTAACTTCTCATTAAATTTGTTCAACGTTAAGAAAGTCCAGTATTCTTACTAAGACGATCTACACTAACGGGTGCACAATGGCAGTCAGCACAATAGCTCACAATGAGAGCTCTGGAGTACCCGAAGTTTGGATAAGGGTAGATATGGGGTGAAATTACAAACAAGTTTCCTATAAAATATAACCCTGACTCAAATGTTGGCGTGTCAATTAAAGCAGCATTTCACCCCTTCTAATTGCGTGTCTTCTTTCTTACGTAGTCAATTGTATTACATAATTCATGACAGTTAGTAATTCTCGCTTTCTTAAATTTCCCGACGTGAGTTGAATATATTGTCCCTGTTTGAATCGTGCTAGTCATCATCGAATGATCTGCAAGTCCTACAACCAAGGGCACAGTACAGCCCATTCACTTAATGCGCTGTTGGATGGTTTCTTTCTTAGTTGAGAAGTGCTGATTATGAATTGGCTGGTTTAAAGCTTGAGTGAATCAAAAAAGGAAACCAAATTGTGTGATGTGCAAGTTCTATAACTGAGGGGTCAATCTAGACAATTACTGTAATGAACTGTTCGATGTCTTCTAACTTAGTTGTCGAAGGATGACTACCAATTGATTTGTTTAAAGCTGGACCGAGCTCGAAACGGACACCACAAAGAACTGTCAATCTAGACATTTATTGAAAATCTCTGTATTGCTCTCCTTATAATGCACTATTCACTGTCTCCTACATGGTTGTAGAGGGGTAACTTCTAATTGACTTGTTTTAAGCTGAACTGGGCACGGAACAAACACTACCATGAAGCAAAGGAAACAGCAGCTTTGTAGGTCTCCAGGGGAGAAGTAAAATCTAGTTAGGGAATTCACAAAATTATCTTAAGCTTGTTGGATAACCCTATAGACTTGCCGCGAATAAATGGATACTTTCGTGACTTTCCGAGATGTTTCACATAGCGCTCCACAGAGAAAGTGAATGCGTTTGTTCTTAAATTAACGTCTTCCTCTCTATTCATAACAATAAGCAATTTCAATTAATTTTGATAAACGGAAAACTTGTTAGTGTCCCTGGCAAGAATTGTGCATGTTTTGTCGTGATAATCGAATAAACGATTCTTTATTTGGATTAAGTCTTGTTTAAGAATGTTTTACTACGTGGATAATGTTCAAAAGGTAGAAAACGCACTGCTTTGAAAATAAATGAGCTAGAGAGGAAACACAAATTAATTCACTTATTTCGTTCAATTTAAAATTCCGCTAAAATATCTTCAGAGATGTGCTGGAATTGACAAGCTCGCACCAAGGACGAGTGTCGCAGAAATGTGAGGCTCACATGAGACTTGTCTATTCAGATATAAGCATTCTCGATGAAACAAAGCTACCAGTTAGGTTTATACAACATCGGAAAACACAAAAATACACAAAAATTAGTCTAATTGTTGACACAAAGGGTGCACCGATTTTGATATATAATTCACAAGATGTTAATTAGACGCGTCAATTTAATTTCGCCACCAGAAAAAACGTAACATTTCTGTGTTGTTAGCGTGTAGTCGTACTTCAGGTCGTATCGCTCCTTCCAACCTCAGTTCACTAGAGCTTAACTTATTGTTGTAGTGTAACATATTGACTTCGAAAAGGTAGTCGCCTATAATCACTTACTTTCAAATATGTCGGCTGGGCGGTGCTGGATTTTCCTGATATCCTTGGCTTCCATTGTCACCGTCTTTAATGGAGTAAGAGCAGGTAAGGCTTTTGTTGTGCAATAGATTAAAAGAAATAAAAAGGTTTTGTCATAAGACTCCTAAAAAATATTTTGTTTTGAACGATATCATCGTGTTTTGAAGCTGAAAATTGTATCTTATCTGTGATGCTTCGGAATATTTTCCATAGAGAAAAAGAGACTTATTTAGATAACGCAACATAAATATTTACACCAAGTTTGTGGCAAAAATGTATAAGATAGTATTCCTTAAAATTTTCAGCTTGTTTTATATTTTTGAGCTGTTATCAATCAATCCATTCTGGAACACAAATTTCAAATTCTAACAGAAAAATTATTTGTTTATTTTTTTGTCTTGTTTTTAACTTCATTAAAAACACCGAATGAAAGAGGAAAACTCCACAAGGTTCAACCTTGTTCGAAACATAATTAGCTTTTTCATTTTCAAACGTTCGATAAATTCTATTCATGAGAGTTACATAATCCTTACGGTTCTATTTTAATATTATTTATCTGTGTTCTAATCACCCAACAAAACCTTTCAGGCAAGACTTTAATGAAAAGAAGAGGTGTAATATTTATGTGTTTGTATCGCCTGTCTCTTTGGTATGCGCGCTTTCGTATTTGGACTTCAAACCTCATTTCTTTTGTTCTTTTTTTTTCATTTGTAACAGATGAAAATCAAGGAATGATTTAAGTCCAATTGCTTTATTATAAATGTTTCAAAGAGATAAATAAAGTTAATCCTTTTGAGGTTCTCTTTGAAAAGTTGAACGTAAATTCGAAGAAGACCTTCTACCAAACGAAAAGACAACGTCACTTATTGCCATGAATATTTAATGTTTAAAAGAATTACAAGAAATCTAATCCTGTTTTTATGTCTACCGATCAATATGTTTTAATAAAAACTGATGAAATACGATTCTGTTTTTTTAAATCATCAGCATAACTGTATCTCCCACCTTGGCAGGAAAACCAATTCTTTAACAGTAAATTAACTGTCTAAACCGCAGAAGACACTGATTTAACACCTTGAAAAGCTCTAACGCGCTAGATCCCTTGGCAAACGCCAAACATAAAGAAGTGTCGCATGTTTTTTATTGGGAAAAATAGCTGGGCACGCAAGAGAGATGTGAGAGCGCAGATACACCGTTAGGAAAATATTTCTTGTCGACAAGTGAAGATTGAAGAAAATTCCCCTCGTTTGAAAAAAGACCCACCAGAAATTGTACATATTCATTTGCAGTGGTAAAAACTTAAATCTGACGAAAACAGATTGTGTAAGTAATTCTGAAAACTATCAATGAAACTGTATATGCTGTTCCGTTTTTTCCCTGTGACAATTTCTACACATGTCTTTTGTCATGGAAAACTCAATGATTAAATTAAAAGTAATATGGCTGAAACATCAAAAATATTTCGTACCACCTGCTGCACCGAATTAGCGAAGTATTTTTCTGTTTTCGGCACAAATATAGTTTCGTATGTTTAAAAAAGACTCAAAACTGTCGATGTAGGACGACAACTGTACTCGGCTGATTCGATATTTGTATATTTTAATTACTTTATTCGCTCACGACACTCCAAACTCAGCTCGACTCTTTTCTAAAACACATGCACATGATCCATAGCAACGAACCGACCTGTCAATTCACATAGCAACGCAAAAAAAATAAATAGATAAATAATTGTACAGGAAGCGGCAGGGACACAAAACAATTCCGTTAAAAAAAAAAAAACTTACAAAGTAAAGAAATGCTAATTTAACTGAAAGAGCACTATGGATTGAAAGATGATCATCTGAAAAAAATAAAATTACGTTCACTCCGCATATTTTGACTATAACAAATGCTAACTGTAGAGGGAAAGGTGAGTTAGGTGTTCCAGGATCTGAAACGGGTAATAAGGCAGCCGAAATCTTTTTGTACTCGCTCTTCAGTACAGCGAAGCCAGGAAATATTTTAATCAGCCACTAAAACCATCAACCAATGACCTTGAATCTTAATCTGGATGTTACTGGAAAATCATAAGGGTAATATAGGGAAAAGTAAACATTTTGCAAAAAAAGCTGATTTTCAGAGCTATCATATCTTTCTCAGCAAGAATGAACGTTTGAATCGATCAGGTGGTTTGTTGTTACTACAACGAAACTAGATTAATAATTTGTTTAAGAAAATTTCGTTCCCGTTATACACAAGAAAATGACAGAAACAATGAAATAACTCAGTACCCAGTTAACGACACTTTTGCATGGCTCTCTGCTTTTGCTTCGTTTTAAAAGGCTTGCAAATCTTCTTGATGTGCTACTGATGTACTAATTCAACCTATGTGAAACATATTAACGCGTTCTCTTAAAAGTGTTATTTGTCCACAGCGAATTTATAGTCTATGGACGTATAATAAACTGAATGACGCACCTATTTTTACTGGTTTTTAGTTCTGATCTATTGGAGGACAGACGCATAGATGACGTCACCATTAACAATTTTTTTGCTTCTTTACCATATAGCAAATACATTCTACTTACCGTGCGTATGTCCAGTTATAGACCACAGAATACGTCAAAAAGGGATAAGGAAATCGGTGAAACACTCAGCTGGGTCTTGTGTGCCCCTCTTACAGTGAAACGAACTCGACCTGGGCCACCCAACGTTTTTTAGCCAATCACAAGACAAGTTCAAAACAAAAAAGATTGAAATTAGTTCATCAGCGGACCAATCACAATAAGGGTCAAATTTAACTGTTCGTTTGACTGGATCCGATGTAAAGATATGCGAAAGCTTATAGTTTTTTTTTAAGCAAAAAAAATTTATATATTTTTCATATCTCTTACGGTAAAGGTGAATAAATATTTACCGAATGGCGGCCGGTAATTTAGAAGACTAAACTGACTAAAGGTAAACTTACCAAATTGCGGCCGACTCACTTTATATAATATATTTTCCGAAACACGGCCCGGAATGTCGAAGGCGAGAGCTTATGTAATTTACTGAATATTGCGGCCGGGAATTTTGAACACGAATCGGGCTCGATCAACGTAAATAAATTTATCAAATTACGGCCGGCTAAACCTATAAAATATATTTTCCTAATGACTACCTGGAATGGAATGACGAAGGCGAAACGGACTCAATGTAAGTATATTTACCCCATTATGGCCGGGAATTTTCAAGACGAAACCCGCTCAACACAAATATATTTTCAAAATATTATTGAAAAACGCCCTTATCTACAATTTTACCGGGAATTTTAGTAACCAATCACAAGGACAAGGAAAATTTCAAATTTAGCCTGCGAAGCAAGCCCTGGGGGAGAATAGGGGGGATTGGGGCGAGCGGAATGTGCGGAGGGGAGAGGGAGGGCTTGCCACAGACCCCCACTAACCAACGAAATTTCCGATCTCATATGGACGAAAAATTCCCGTTGGCTGAGAGCAACACGTTGTCAATCAACCCTCGAACTAAACAGTCTTCGCGGTGACTACCTTTTAGAAAATGGCGGATGAAGGTGATTTCGAGAAGTTCTGCCCTCAAGAATCGATGTCGAAGTAGAATATTCGTGGCAGCCATCCACTTGTACAAGCTCAGGGCCTTGATAAGAATGGCGTCTTCATTCTCAAACTTCCCTTAACCACAACATTGCAAAGCCGATGGACGTTGGATCCAAATCATCAATGTTTAAATTTGTATCCATCGCTGAAGTTGAGGGTTGTCCTTTCGTCGGCGAGTCAAACAACGCTTCCCTGCTAGATGTAGGTTTTGCATGTGCCGGGGAGCGGACACGCAAGCTCTTTCTACCTGGACTTTTTCCTGTCGGTGTTGAGAACTTTCATTTCGACGAAACATCGCGGGAATCCGGACATTGAGAAGCGGCCTTATTCAACAGTTCATAAAACTGGCAAAAACTGTTAGCTTTTCTTGCACAAGGAAGGCATATAATTTGAGATATGTGCGACTTATTTTCGAAGTGAAAACCGACCGTTCGAAGGCGATCGGCGAAGA